AAAACCGCGAAGGACATCTGGGAAGCCGCACGGGACACTTATTCAAGCATTGAAAACACCTCTGCTTTATTTGACATTGAAACAAGGTTGTATAATCTCCGTCAAGGTGATCTCAATGTAACTCAATACTTTAACATGCTTACTCGTTTCTGGCTGTAGCTTGACATGTATGAAGTATACTCATGGAAGTGCTCCAATGACTCTGCACTATATCGAAAAACCATCGATCAAAAAAGGACTTTGCGATTTCTTCTCGGTCTTAACAATAATCTTGATGATGTAAGGGGAAGAATCATGGGCAGCAAGCCGTTTCCCATCATCCGTGAAGCTTTCGCTGAGGCTCGTAGAGAAGAAAGCAGAAAACAATTAATGCTTCCAAAGATTCATCCATCCCTACCTGTTGAAGGTTCTGGTCTCCTTACTCACAACTCATCCCAAGATAGCAAATTCAAGAAAGGCAGACGTCCATGGTATGAGCACTACAGAAGAGTTGGACATGTGAAAGACACATGCTGGAAACTGTACGAAAAGCCTCAAGATTGGAAGTCAACCCGCAGGTCTCAAAATTTTAGCCATGCTAATGCTGTTCTGATCTCCTCTATAGTCAACAGTACCGATTCCAACCCTTTCACTAAGGAGCAACTTGAAGCACTACAACAGATCCTGGGCACAATCTCCTCTAATACAGTACGGCCATCTTCTACAGGTCCCACTGTAACACTAACAGAGCAATCCACTAGTTTTTTGGCTCACCAAGGTATACCACACGCTGCCTATACTGTAAACAACAAGAAAAATAAACTCTGGATTGTCGATTCTGGTGCTTCCGACCACATGACAGGTGATCTCATTGCCTTTCAAAGCTATAGCCCGTGCACCTCTCAGTCTGCAGTCCGAATTGCTAATGGCAGCTCCTCGGCAGTGGCAGGAAAATGATCCATCAGATCGTCAAAAGACCTTGTTCTCTCCACTGTTTTATTTGTGCCAAAACTAGACTGCAATTTGATTTCCATTAGCAAATTAACTCGTGATATACAAGTGTGTTGCTAAGTTTTATTCAAATTTTTGTGAATTTCAGGAGGTGAATTCGAGGAAGGTGATTGGCAGTGCTAGACAATGTAGTGGTCTATATTTGATTCAAGAGAGTTCAATTTCTTTTCACTCCAGACATGTTTTCCAGTCCAGTTTCAACTCCGTCGGTTTAGTTTCAAATTCAGTCAATTCAAATTCTGTTATTTCAAATTCAAATTCAAAAAAGTCTCAAGTTATGTTATGGCATTTTCGCCTTGGTAATTCTAATTTTATGTACCTTGAAAAGATGTTTCCACATCTATTTACTAATAAAAGGCCTAGTGTTTTTTAATGTGAAATTTGCCAATTGTCCAAACATACTCGCCACAATTTTTCTAGTCTCAAATATAATGCTTCTCCAATGTGAAATTTGCCAATTGTCCAAACATACTCGCCACAATTTTTCTAGTCTCAAATATAATGCTTCTCACCCATTTTCTGTTATTCATAGTGACATATACTCGCCACAATTTTTCTAGTCTCAAATATAATGCTTCTCACCCATTTTCTGTTATTCATAGTGACATAAGGGGCCTTCTCGAGTAAAGAACGTTAATGGAACTAGATGATTCATCACCTTCATTGATGACCACTCTAGAACCACTTGGAGATACCTAATGAGAGAGAAAGGCATCTTCAATATTCAAAGCCTTTCACTCAATGATCTCCACACAATTCCAAAGCAACATAAAGGTATTCAAAAGTGATAATGCCAAAGATTACTTTAATTCTACTCTCGATTCCTATTTATCTCAAAATGGTATTGTCCATATTAGTTTTTGTGTCGACACTCCACAACAAAATGGAGTAGCCGAAAGAAAAAACAGACATTTATTAGAAGTGGCTCAGTCCCTTATGTTTTCCAATCATGTTTCAAAACAATTTTGGGGAGAAGCTATTCTCACTGCCACTTATCTTGTTAATCGAATGCCTAGCTGTACCCTTGCATTCAAAACTCCGAGACAGGTCCTTCTTGAAACTTACCCTCACCTTAAATTTCTCTTTCGATTTACCTCTCAAAGTGTTTGGTTGCACATCCTTCGTCCATGTTCATCATCGTACCAAACTTGATCCCAAGTCCTTAAAATGTATCTTTATTGGCTACTCTTCACATCAAAAGGGCTACAAATGTTATTCTCCTCAAACTCATCGAGTATATACCTCCATGGACGTTACATTCTTTGAAACTCAGTCGTTCTATCCCAAATCACAAATTCAGGGGGAGAATGCTAAAGAATTTGAAATTTGGGACATCCTCCAAGATACTCAAGCCGTGTTCCTCTCAATTCAAACAATCCCTCTTTCATCACCACCTACTTCATCCGAAACAGTATCTCAAACAACTGAAAATCCTCAACTGTCTGAATCAGTCCCTAACACAGTTCTCAATTCTTAACCTTCTCAAGAACTCATTGTCTACTCAAGAAGGAGACCTGTTGAGCAAATAGAGGCCAACACATTGTCGCGGGATTCTCAAGCACCTGATCCAGACTCACATGCCTCAGTTCATAAAGGAATGGATATTATTACACCACTTGTTGATGATTCTGATATGCTCATTGCTCAAAGGAAGGGTGTACGACGGTATACTACTCACCCAATTGAGAAATATGTTGCTTATGGGAATCTAACGCCCTCGTACAAAGCTTTTGTTACTAAGCTTGATAGCGCCCAGATTCCCCAGACTATCCAAGAAGCTCTCAACGATCTTGCCTGGAAGCGTGCAGTAGAAGAAGAAATTCAAGCACTAGAAAGGAATGGTACCTGGACTCTCACAGAATTGCCTCAAGTGAAGAATCTGGTTGGATGCAAATGGATATTTACAGTAAAATACCAGACAGATGGGAGTATAAAGAGATTTAAAGCCAGACTCGTTGCAAAAGGGTTCACTCAGTCTTATGGTATTGATTACCAAGAAACCTTTGCCCCAGTTGTCATACTTAATACTATTTGAATTTTATTGTCTCTAGATATGAATTCAGATTGGCCTTTGTATCAACTAGATGTTAAGAATGCCTTCTTGAACGATGATCTTGAAGAAGAAGTGTACATGCAGATTCCCCCTGGAATGGAGAGAATTCCAACAACTGTAGGCTTGTATGCGAACTGAAAAAATCTCTATATGGACTAAAGCAGTCTCCACGTGCTTGGTTTGATAGGTTTGCTAAGGCTATCCGAGATAATGGCTACACTCAGTGCTAATCTGATCACACGATGTTTGTGAAATTCTCAGATAGTGATAAGATAGATATTCTAATTATTTATGTTGATGATATAATCCTGACAAGGGATGATAGTGAGGAGATTACAAAGTTGAAGAAAATGTTAGCAACGGAGTTTGAAATCAAAGATCTGGGAACCCTCAAAATACTTTCCGGGCATGGAGGTAGCCCGATCCAAGGAGGGAATTTTCATCTCCCAGAAAAAGTACATACTAGACTTGTTGACTGAGACAGGTATGTTGTGATGCAAACCTGCAGACACTCTCATGGACTCTAACAGACGGAACAACAAAGAGGCAGATCAAGTTCCAGTTGATAAAGATATCAGAGACTTGTTGGAAAACTAATTTACTTGTCACACACTAGACCGGATATTGCTTACTCAATGAGTATTGTCAGCCAACATATGAACAGTCCCTGTGAAGAGCATTTGGAGGATGTATACCGAATTCTAAGATACTTGAAGACAACCCCAAGACATGGATTGATATTCAAGAATCATCAAGCCGAAAAGTTGAAATTTACACTGATGCAAGTTGGGCTGGAGAGTTAACTAATCGAAGATATACCACTGGATATTGCACATTTGTTTGGGGGAATTTGGTGACATGGAGGAGTAAAAAGCAAGTTGTAGTCTTACGAATTAGTGCAGAATCTGAATACCGCGCACTTGCACTCGGACACGAAGTAGTGCAGAATCTGAATACCGTGCACTTGCACTCGGAATTTGTGAAGGAATGTGGATTCAAAGAGTGTTAAAAGAACTCAAGGTTGAAATAGATGGGTCGGTTACAATGCTTAGTGACAGCCAAGTAGCAATTAGCATTGCTAAGAATCTTGTGCATCATGACAGAACAAAACACATTGAAATTGATCGACACTTCATCTCTGAAAAAGTGAATGGTAGCATCGTTTAACTATTTTACGTTCCTTCACGACAACAGATTGTAGACATCCTCACCAAGGCACTTTCCTGATCAAACTTTGAAGAATTAATCTCCAAGCTTGGTTTGTATAACATATACAACCCAGCTTGAGGGGGAGTGTAGAATTGTATATTGAGTTAGACGTGTATTAGAATAGATTTCATTCTATTTTTGTTATATAGTTAATTCTGGAAATTAGTCAATACCAGAATTTAGTTTCCTTGTTTAGTGGGATTCTCTAATTAAAGAGACTTTCCCTGTTGTTGTTTTAATTTCTTAGGATTTGTTTCCTATTTTCTTGGGTTGATTAGTTGCCCATTACCGTGTACATAAGGGGCAAGAACCCTCAGTTTCTAATAAGAAGAATTTCAGAATTTCCTCAACTCTTTCTTCAGTAAATAGCACTACATGCCAGTTTTAGGTTTTTTTATCAGCACTTCAGAGATACACTACGCAGTGACTCGATTATCAATTTATTCATACATGGAATGGTAATAAGGTGTTATATTATATAATTGATAAGGATTGCTCTATATTCAGAATATTAATGCGGAAAACTTAAGTTGGAGATTAATATGTGCAGGTTTAGAAGTGGAATGTAATTTATAGAAGCATTCTCTTATAGAGCCTTATGTAAGCACGCATGAAGTCCTATCACAGTGTAATAGGCTATAAAGCACTAAACTGTACAAACAATGGAATGTGGTAAAAAAAATATAAATATGTCAACAGATCAGAAATTCAGAAAAGATCAAACATCCAATTAAGATATTATCATTACCGCATTCAAGATATCAGGAACCTTAGCCTCCTTCATAGCATCGGTTGCATTGCGTAAAAGAGCCTGAGTACTCAAATAAGCAAAATATCAGTAAACAGAAGAACAACAGCATTCTTCGAGAAGCTTGAAACAAAAACAAAGTGAGGACCCCCTTCTATCCTTCATATAACCTCAAAAGTAAGAGGATTAATAAGGAAAAAGACATACCATCCGAAAATTTTCAAGAGAAACACGCCCATCTTTATTTGGTTGCAATAAATTAAATTGTGACCTTAAATATATAAGTTCATCTTCTCTTAAAGCCTTGGATAAAGCCTGATAAAAAAGAGTTCAATTAGAATGAAACTAAAACAACTGCAACAACCATTAAGTATCGATAGAAAGGTGCATGTCAAATCCATAAAAATTAAACAGATAACACAGAGAAACGTCATGTAGCTAGCTGCCCCTTCTGAATCAGAAAACACTTGTATTTCCAATGCACAACACGTGTGTGATAGTTGACATCCACCAATTTTGGCTTCACCACGAAATTTGGGACATGTGCTGCGCATCAAAGAGAACACACGTGCAGAGATCGTGAATTCAATATCAATGAAAAGGGGGAAAGTGCTAATCAGGTTGCATGCGACCAGTTCCCAAATAGTTGATAATATAGATATCAGCTCATAATGCACCACATCATTCTAAATCTGGAAACACCAGTTTCCTAGAAAAGCTACTACAGTATCCAACAAAGATGAAGCACAATCAATGGTATAATAACATACTACTTTATGTGAAGTATCTTCCTAAGAAACCATATTTATCCAAAATAAATCAATGAAAAAGAATGATGAATGAGTTATTCTTATAAAAGTGACAGATTATCCAACCGAAAACTGAGATTGCTTATCTTCTTTCCTCAGTAACATCTTAAGAGTTAGCGCAACGAGAACAATCCAGAATTCCTCCTAAATCTCCAGGTTACCTAAATCTCCAGGTTACCTATACAAATCCCTTTCTTATTTGACCTGTTGAGCGTCATTTCCTCCACCAGCTAACAACATAACAGTACTTCATTCATTTAGGTCCATCCTTCATATTCATAATTCCATCAGCTACAAACGATCCAGTCACCATTGCCATGTAAAATTGAAGATACTTCCAATTTAAGATGCACTCATTTCTTGTTCCTACTTACTAACTTGTCTCATCCATCATAACATTATTATTGCAGCTTCACTAGTTAAAATGACAAGTAGATAAGATCATTCAAGATAAAACAAATAGGAAACCAGTACAAGCACTGATCTTAAGATAAGATTCTGGTGTTTCCAAACAACCATCGATGCAAAACTCTTCAATGATAAGCTAGTACTAAAAATTAATGGGACAAAAGAAAAAATAAATGTTAAAGTAACTATTTGGTAAAGTAATTATTTAGGGAAACCCAAGGGTGTTGATAGCAAGTATGTTAGTTTCAGTGATATAAGAAGCCAAGTCGCATATAATAAAAAATGACCACCAATAAAAAGGGGACTAATGTTTGATATGCTGTAGCGGGAAATAGCTAAATCTCATAGTTGAAATTTTGAAGCGACGCCCAAGGAAGCCATGACTAAACCCTCTTATCAATGTCTATAAGGCCACATTTGTTTTTTTAATCCCGGACTAGGGGGTACGTCAACCCCTGGACTATAGTCCTAGGACTGCATTATGCTAAGGCTATTTTAGTCCACCAAATGTTCGTTTTTATATGGACAAACATTTGGACTAACATAAAGTAGTCTAGATTAGTGTTTGTTTTTGAAGGATTATAACCATTAGGGCTAATATCATAAACTAAAATGATCTTTTTTGCCCTATCACCTCAACCACATTAATGGGAGTCCTAGCAGCCTCTCTCTACCACTCCTTCACCATATCACGAACGCTTCAGCCCCTTTCCCAGTGGCCTTGTTTTACCCCATAGGCCCATAGCGAACTGTCAATCATCATATATACCACACAAGTGAATTCTTACCATTGTTTTAAATATCCCTAATAAAGTCGATATATCAAGCGATGTATCCTTTTATAAGGCTTGCCGCAAAACAATATGTCTCGATATACTTTACTGCTTTTTGGTAATTTTTTGGTGATATATCCCCATCGATATATCCTTTTCTATGGCTTGTTAGAAAATAATTTACCATTTTTAGCAATTTTTAGGCAATATACCATAATTTTCTCATTATACGAGGTGACATTTCAGCCTCAAACAATCTTTTGTATGCTTAGATTTTGTTAAGTATGTCAAGATGACATTATAGGATTTATAATATATATATATATATATATATAATATATATATATATAATATATATATATATATATATATATATATATATATATATATATATAATATATATATATACATAAGCCACTGTGACAATTACTGTACATTCTTAATATTTTTTAGATATCCAAAATTTGATATGGATTTTGGCCATTTGACATTTCCCCGACATCTGATATTTAAAACCTTGGTTGTTACGCATTCCCCAACTGGGCATATTTCTATAAGAGAAATAAATTTTAGTTATTTTCAAACAAGAAGAACACAATAACAATAACAATGTCTACTTACTAAAATTCTTTCATACCCTATAATATTCTTTTTGCACATCATCAACAATAAGTATCATCTCCACAATGTTATTCCATGATATGCCACTAGTACTTAAGGCAATGTAAATGAAACTATAAACTTGCTTCCATGCGTTTGATTTTAACATCCTTCAGACAATCAGACCTAAAAATTTGGGTAATTGAAGCAAGAAGCAACGAGGTGCTAGGGTCCACCCTAGCAATTATTTCTCGTGTGTGTTTATGAGATTCCATGGCCAGGACATATTCTTTCTCTGTCAAATGAACGACAAGCTCATTGAGCAGTTTGACTAGAAATTAGTACATAATCCATGTGAATGACTCAATCATAACAGCAATTCACCATCACAATCCATTTGGTAATTTATCATTGCTGCCACATTCTTTCGTGTTCTGATTTTAAAAAAAAATCTGAAACGAAATGTCGCGTTCTTCTTATGGCTGCTAGCAGAGAAAAAACCTGGAAAAATGCACAGGGAAAAAAGACCCCGTGTAAAAAAGTCAAAATAATAAAGGTATTTTTTTCCCAAAAGTATAATCCCCTTAGATGATTAGTATCTGGATCGTAAAGATGTGTACATGGTGGGTTTAAACTTAGTCCCCTTTCTAGGGATTATATAGTCCCTCCTTAATAGTAGTTGGGATCAAATTAAGGAACAAACATAGGATAAAAAGATTTGTCCGAACTATTTTAAAATAATGCTCAGACTATAAAAAAAGCATGGCCTAAGACCCTTGTACCTGGTCTAGCACCATAAGCAGATCTAGACTTGTGGGTTACATTCATTAAGGAGAAGAACAATTATTTCCATCTTCTAAGTTTGAACTAATAAAAAAACCACTCTGCTTCAAAACAAACATGCCAGTTACAACAACAACGAAAGGAATGGTCAAAGCCTCAACTATCAACGTCAACTTTATTAATAATTATAACATAAATAACAAGCTTCATGGAGGTTTTATAGGTGAAGAAGCGATTGAATGTAATAACTAAAAATTTATGGGAATCTTTAAACCTTCAACAAATGAAAGTCTGTGTTAACTATAAAAAAAAATTGTCTCTTTAAACCTTTATTTTTCTGAAGATGTTTCAGGACATTCTTTATCATGGTACATAAACTTCAAATTTCTAATAGATCATCAAACATAAGTTTGTAGATTGTATCCAAAAACATGATAACCCATTTCGGTTAGGATTTGATATTAAACTTCTGAACCGAATTTGTCAGTCTCCCAGTCAGGTTCAGAACTAGAACAATAGATTGGAATTAGATATAGGCCTTGTGATTCTTAAACCAAAAATCAGAAAATCCAACCCAATAACATATAGTAAATAAATAGTTTAAACATGAATGCAACTCTTCGCTCGTGAGACACGCGATGTAATCAAATATATACTGACTCTCAAAGTCTTTCCGACTCTTGTTCTATATTTTTATCATAACCAATTTAACAAAATGAATATGTGAAATAACTTATTGTTGTCATGCATCGGGCTCGCAAGCCCCTTGGCACGGTGTAAGCTGTAGGACCATTGAATGTAATGCGTTATTTGGCTCAATCCACTACCAAAATGGTTAATCATGTTACACTTCAATCTCACAACTTAAAATATAAATACTACAAACTCTCACCCACCAATGAGGGACTAAATTTTGGGATGCTACAATCACCCCACATTAAACATGTGATGTCCTTGTCGCGGCATATAACAATTGTTCTGTCCCTGTATTGCCACCGGGCGATGTGGATTCTAGAGGTGATCCTATGGGTTCTAGAGCTAGCTCTCACCACACTCACGCGTTGTAGCACTTAAGTCTCACATAATACTTAGTTTGACACTTCCAACGAGCTACTGCTCTGATACCATTAGTCATGCCCCGAGTGCGCGAGCTCGTTGGCATGCTGTAAACCATGGGAGACACTGAGTGTAATGCATTGTTTGGCTCGATCCACTGCCAAAATGGTTAACCACGTTACACTGGGATCTCACAAGTTACATTATAAACACTACAAACTCTCACTCACCTACCGATGTGTGACTAATTTTGGGATGCTAAAATCTAAATCCAGATATGGACCTACATTTGTTTCAGTTTTTGATCCTACAGTGCTTGTTAGATTCTGATTTGGATAAAACATACTTTATTATTGGATTTGGGTTATACACAAATCTGAACTGAATCTAACTTCACTGTCCCTACAAAACAAAATTTTTAGATTCTTCTCAAAGCTTCAAACATTGTTTTAGTTTTATTTTTGCACTTGGGACTCTTTGCCCTAAAGCTACAGGCTACAGCTATGAGTATCTTAAATCTACAGGAAGGAATATACACAAGGCCATTGTAGAAAACATGTACTCAGAAAGTGTTCGTGGTTAGCATTATTCAAAGAACATCCCTGAATGACATGCTTGCCTAACAAACACTTCAACATAAAAACATACAGTTGCTAAGATATGTCCTTGATTTATCTTTGTAGTGATTGCTTGTCTGCTGAATCTAGATACTTAAATCATCTTATTCAATTGATTATGGCACCAACCCTGTAACAACCTGTATCTATAATATCAACCAAACTAATGAAGCACCCACATACTGACAGCTGACATGCCAAAGATGATTAGCATACCTTTAACCTTTAATTGTCGAGCTCTAGTCTTAGAGATATTTCCCAAAAAAAATTTTGATAAAAAAGATTTCCAACTTTAATCTTTTTATATTCTCCTAGGTTACACATTTATCTCATAAGGAAAGAAGAAAGCTAGACATCCCCTTACTGTCAAGTGGCACAAAGAATCTTATAGGTGATCATCTTAATTCTTAACTAATATATGCATTCTAATTTTTGTGTCTTACATTTTTTGCAACAGCATCCATGCATTCCACTGGTATTCCTTTCTCCATGAGCTAGTGAGCAGAAGTCACATGTACCCCCACGTCCCCACCTGAACTTCATTATTTTTCCTAAACCTGAGGTGGCTCTATAAGAGCACAAGCCAAACTTACATGTACCGAATTAAGCTTCACAAAATTATACCAAGTGGTATGCAGTAAGCATGAGGATAATGCACTCATATCCTATAGAAAAAACATAGTACCTTAGAAGTACAAATGTAACATATCACTGAAAAACAGAAGCATATGTCAGATATAATTTTTGAAATATGACAGGCATTACTGTATTGCAAACTTTTTCCTAATCTCATTCCTATTTTGACAAGGACAAACAGGAAATTAACAAGGAATACATTGCCACAATGTGAACAAAAAGTACTCAATTGGAGGAGAAGCAGATCATGTGTTTCCAGCAAGAAGCACTCGAAGTGAAACAAACAAGATGTGCAGTAAATTCGAAGCAGAAATATAAAATTGGGACCCATAATCATATCAATTTATAATTACAAATCTTAAAGGAAAGACGTATAACCTTCAGTGCTGCACGTTTGAATGGAGTCGCCCGTACGTATGCTTTCACTAACTTAAAAATTAGTATATCTAGGGGGATTTGTTGCTGCTTATCTCGCAACCATGGGTGAGCTGCAAAGAGAAAGTTATACAGTAGATCACATCAATAACCATACTCAGATCTCTACCTAGGGGAACACAAATAAAATATGCACCATAAGTTAGTTGGCCAATTTTTTCCTCAAATCAAAAATAAACAATGGCTCGTATAGTATTATTAAATTGTATGAAAACATACTTAGAGCCTGCGCAGCCGTCATTCTTTTTCTGTAGTCCTTATTCAAAAGCCTTTTCACAAAATCTTTAGCCTCAGGAGACACATCTGGCCAAGGAGAATCAATGAAATTTGGATCTGCTCTTAAAACAGAACGGAATATTCCTGATTCGGTTCGGGCCCAAAAGGGTCTGCTACCACACAACAATATGTATGTGATAACACCAATGCTCCAAATGTCTGCTTCTGTACTATATGATCTATGTAGAACCTCAGGAGCAACATAATATGCACTTCCAACAATGTCATTAACCCTTTCATCTGCAAAAGTAGACCACATACTTGAACCTCCAATTCATAAGATACTATTGTTAGCATGTTTCACAATACTACTTTAGGATACTTTAACTAAAAGGTCATATGCATGTATGGCATTTTGACAAAATACAAGGTGTAAAACAATTCATGCATTTCACAATTGTATGAGCCTATGAAATACATTGCAAAAACTACATTTCTCTTAAAGACAATCTAGAGAAGTAAATAATTCTTGTAAATGCCAAGAATAATCATTTAAAGGGGAAGAAAAATGTCAGAAATCAATCTGTAATCTTGAGAGGACTTCTTTAGGTGGAGAAAAATTCAATATAAGCTAAAAGATTAGCAATGTTGGATATTATTAGATATCATTAGATATTAGTAGATATTATGAGATATTATTAGATATGATTATATCTCATACCTATTTTGTAATGTCCTCTTAATCTCTATTTAAGAAAGGTAAGGGTTGATGAAATAATAACTTTGTTTTCCCACTTCCTCTACATGGTATCAGAATATGTTTCTTTATCTTAGAGAACTTCTCCCCTCTTTCTAAATCACGGGGCTCCTGAGGGGGCTCTGCCACAAGCACCTACCCCACACTTCCGCTCAGCGGCTTTGAAAGCTTTGGCAGCTTTGACAAGTTTGTCCAATTCCTAAATATTCATCAAAAACTCTAACCACAAAAAATCGAACTTCAAACATATATTGTTCGTCATCTTTCATCATGCAAAATGTAACTTCGATTACTGATCACTGTGAACAGTAACTCTCCAGCCATTTCTTGCAACAACACTGATCCTCTTCTAATAATTAATTTCGGTGTTGATTCTTCTGGCTAAACTCACCTAGTGTTTCTTCTAGCTTATCTACGGTTACTGCTAGCTTTAATATGGATTTATAAGACTTGATTCCAACATTGAGGGTCTCTTTTTCTAGTTAAGCTATCTATTGATCACGAAAGTGAGGATTTACTTCTGATCTCTATCTGACTTTATTCTGGCTCTTGTCTTGAGCTTGTTGTGACTACATTTTTCTGATTGTTGTAGGCTTCAAATAATCTGGGAATGATAACTTTACTAATGCTCTTTCAATTAGCTATTTTGTAATCATGTGTAACAAACTAGACATATACACTACATATGTTCCAGTTTGAGGGGGAGTGTTAGATATTATTAGATATCATTATGTATTAGTAGATAATAATAGATAGGGTTTTTTCTAGAAATCACCTTATATTACGTAAACCACTTTATATTTTCAATTTATGCATAACTCATCAAAAAGTTAGTTTTTCTTTCAATCAACCACCTGACCGCACTTTGTTGCAAATAAATTTCCCTGAAATTCCAACAATGCGCCAACTTAATCTCACATGTAAAGCGTACGACCTCGCTTGTTGATGCTCTGTAAGCTTTCCACATAAGATTAAGTGAGTATATTGTTGGGATTTCAGGAAAACTTTAGCAGAAAAGTGGGACCAATTGGTTGATTGGAAGGAAAACTTTATAGGTGGTTTAGGTATAAGTTAAAAATATAAAGAAGTTTACGTAAATTGACGCTAAATATAAGGTGATATTCAAGGGGAAAACCCTATTAGATATATTATGAGATATTATTTGTTATGATTATATATCATACCCGTTTTGTAATATCCTCCTAATCTTTATTCAAGAGAGGTTACGATTAGATGGAATAACTTGTCTCTTTCTCTACAGCAATTAATCATCACCCTCAATCAATTTTTGCCATTAAATGGACGAGATGAGGAGAGTAAGGCTCCATGGAAAAGTAGCGTATGACGAGCACAGCAAAATTATGGTCAAAATATCATATTAGAGGGCATTGACTTGAAAAGAATGGTCATCAAGTTCACTAGAACTAAGAGTAAAGGAAAATCGAAAATAAGAGGATTTTGCTAGGGAAAAGGAATAAATGTACAATATTACTTGATACAAAGAAGAAAACTATAGGTAATCAGGTCCATACTAGATCTCCAGACTCCAATCCATCTGTAAAGCTGTGAGGAATAAACATATCAAATTGTGTGCCCTTATCTAACACATATCAAACACCAACACTTTCACATCACTTACTTGATATGTATTGGATAAGACCCTCATTAGACTAGGAAAGAACGGTCGTCAAGTTCACCAAACCAAAGAGATCAAGAAAATGGGAAACATCAAGAATTTTGCAAGGGAAAAGGAATCAAGGTACAATATAACTTGACGCGAAGAAGAAAGAAAACTAGAGCTATTCCCTACTAGATTCCCAAACTCCAATCCATATGTGAAGTTGCAGGAATAAACACATCAAATTGTGTCCTTATCTGACACATATCAGACACCAACACGTTCACATCACTCACCTGATATGTATTGTTTAAGAGTCTTAAGACTCTCATCGTTCTCTAAGAAACCAAAGAAACACTTGAGTGATGAAGTTAGTCAGCTTTTAAAAAAATCTAAGGATTAAGCGGACACCATGAATACATGATTCATTTGAATAAACATACAAAAGGATCTGACATAGCAGATATTACACCAATAGACCCTAAACACCTCACACACATGTAAAAGACATTAATCGATTCATGTTTTAGTTTTTTCTATTAACTGAGTGGTTATTTTAATTAAAAAGTTGGACTTTTAATTATTCTAGGTCATAGGTGGAAATTGCAAAGGGCCATCTCTTCCAATGAAGGGAACAAAGTCATTTAAATATACTTAATAATGAGAAGGTAGAATCTTGGTGAACACATGTTCCAGGTTTAAATACTAAGCATTATGAAGTCAAAAAAAATACTGAGCATTATATTTTTTTATTAAGTCTAGGTAAATTTATCATTCATTGGAATGACCTCAAAATTAAAGTTTGAGTTTTATACTTTTTGTTCTATAATTACTGCCAACATATTAATTGTTGTCACCCTATTAACCAATTTTATTTCTCATGTTTTCAGGTCACAATTGAGTTGTTTATTCAAAGGAAGGATACTCACTTTTTTAGGTTTCAATTAATTGAGGTGCTTTGCCATGCAAATAGCTACATTTAGGGATTTAAAATTCTAATTTTTTATTTTAGTTTTGAATGAGTATGTTATATAAGATTCTTATATTCTTCCTTTTATGGACACACGCAATTAACCTATATCACAAATTTTTATGTTTATATCAAGATCTCTAAGTAGATGTGTGACATAGTAAGTTGGTCATTAGTACCCTATAAAATTAAAGCATTAGTAATTCACATCCAATTGCCCAATAGGGACAAAATTCACATTCTATTAATATTAGGTATTAGTTATATAATGCAAAATAAGGGTAAAATTCAAATTTGTCAAATAAGCCTTGATAAAATGAACAATATGCTAATACATAGTTTCAAATGAGTCTAATTGCTCTCCTAATCCTTCCATATTATACTGTCAATAAAACCGATTACCCACATTATTGTTTTATGTTAACTGATGTTTACTCACAGTTTTAATTACAAGACATAAATGCGTTAGGTGACTACCCTTGGGAACTGAAAAGTGTACTCATTATTTGGATCTACATCACTTAAGGTGACTAGGCGTCATGGATATAGGTAACTATCTTAATCCTTTTGTTAAAATGTTATACATGTTATTTTTTTATGCAAATCAAGGAAAGAGCTATATTATTCTTATATTGTCTTTAAGTGCAATCAACGTTAAATAAACCCCGATGATGACTTTTAGACAATTAGAAAAAAGTAATATATCAAAATTTATCAATTTTTATGCGTCCCTAACCATTGACATGGTGTTCATACTAATACTAATATACGGTTTTGCACTTTTCTTAAAGGTTTTATACTGTTTGGTCAGGTGTTTAAATTACAAGCCATGAATCCTTATGAATTGAACAATTAAGTTTCTACCTTACTCCATTTTGCTATTTGAAGCTCAATATTTTAATTTGATAAAGTTTTTTAATGTGTTTCTGAATTTCTCATACAAACATTTCTAAGTTAAAACACTTAAAATTACTACTTTAGGGATAAACAAAAAAGAATTCAAGACTGGTCTAAACAATAGCAAGAACCTTCCTTAAAAGCTTTTCATATGCACAATTAAAGGAAATTTAATTCAAAGTATTAAATTAAAGTAATCATCAAATTTATCCAAATCATTTTCTCCAAATGGTATGTACATTCGTGTAATATTTTTTCATGGTGATTTAAAGAAATAATATAAGAAATTATACTTTAAAAACTTACAAATCAACTTTATATTCTCATAATGTTGTGATTAACATTGTTCTGATTTCTGTGAATTAGTTTTTTGTTGATACATTTTTTATTTTCTTTTGGTAGTAATTATTAATCAAAATGTTGCATAGTTCCTTTGTTTAGCATCATTATTACAAGTTGTTGTCTTCTAGATTACATCTTTAGTGCTACCTTTTACAATTTTAATATTGAACGCTAATCTAAGCTATTTATATTGACTTATGGTAATCAAAGTTCGACTATAAAGGAAATGTGAGTGCAAACTGTCATGGTCATCGAGATCAAGTCCAATTAGAGGTTAGGTATTTGTTGAATTTCAACCAGGTCTAATATAATGCAGACAAGAGCAGTCAGTTCCATCATTCCTCTCAAAAGCAGCCAGTTCACTCACTCCACGCTCAGAATTCTAAAGGAGCCTCCTCCTCACACTCAATGATTCACCTAAAAACTATGTATTTTCTGGGTGTTATTACACTCAAGCTTTGAATCTTTTAAATCTCTAAATTTGACTTTTCAAATGAACTTAAGTATCAATTGTATTTCTTCTGTAAGCTTAATTTATCTACTCTCAAGTTCAACTTAGGTTTTCTTTCTCGATTAGCCACCAAATTTTGGGGTTATTGTGGACGAGCTCAAGTCTCAAAAGCTTCTTTTTTAATTGCAAGGTTTTCTTTGATATAGGGATATTTGGGTTTATAAAAAGCCAAAGTTTAATAAAGGACTTGGTGTTTTTTGCTTTG